GCTAAATACTTCTTTGAAAATTTTTTTAATTTTGATTAACTCAATAATGCATTTAAACACATCGAACAGTATTCATTCGATTAGCGAGTATATGGTATAGTTATTTCTAGTAACTGAATAGTTCAAATATCATGTAGTTTGGATTAACACCGCTCGAACTCACATATATATAATCTTAAACTTTTGTAAAATTAACCAATCTCCTGTATTAATTAATTACATATGCTTAAGAATATTATATACTTGCATATTACTCAAAGACTACAATGGTAATTTCTCTTTCAATACCTGCTATTGAAACTAATTACTTGTTCCTCAAATAACTCTACAAGCCTTCTTTGCTTTTAATTTTCTTAACTCTTTCCTTTACTATTTTGACCTTTGCGGCAGTTCAATACTTACGATAAAATTTAATGGTTTAGTGTTTCACTGAATAAATCGAAGTTCTTATGTGCAAATTTTAGAGACGATTACTTTTTATTAAGATAACCAAATTACTGATTGTATAAAAATCGTTTAACAGAATATTTTGCGCCTTTCTGCGGTTTGCGTCGAGGGCAAGGTATACTCTATTGTCTTCTTTTGAAGTCTTCACCGATCGATCTATGTTCTTTGCAGAAAATAAACTGAAGTTAATACTCAGTTCCTATGCTAGTACTTTAATAAATACTAGATTTTTATGAAAAAGTATAATCTGTTATAAATGTTTATTTATTTTCTTATATGTATTTGTGTTATACGATTACAGTAGATATTCTTCTTAAAAAGTAATCGACTCTTTTGATTGCAAGTCGGAATTGTTAATTTATACATGCCAAAAGTTGTTTGTAGATAATTTTGAGGAGAATTTAAAACAACTTAAACTGGTTCAGAAACAACAACAACTGAAGATGAAAAACAAATAGTAAATTGAAGGGATACGAAGCGATAAGTAGTAAAATAAATGCGGCCAAGTAAAAAGGAATCGTTAAATGCATTCATTCATTTATTCATTACGAGTATAATTAATAGTATTAGTTTCACCAAGATGAATTTATTTTCAGATTGCCTTTGCAATTTTGTCGTACTTCACTAATGCAATCTAATTAAATATATAAACATGAAAGAGCATGTAAAGTACATACAATAAATTTTGTGTAATCGTATCAAATGCCGTTTAGAGTTTTAAGGGATTTAATGATAAATTAGTTTAAAGATGAAATTAATTTTTTAGAATAAAGATAATAAATTTACTAATTAGTAGAATTGAATGGATGTCGATTATTCATTATATTTTAATGAAATTATTAGGCTCTTTCAGATTTTATTTAATTTTTTTTCAATTTACATAAATTGAAACCACTAATTATCTCTACTTTTAAAATATTTTGTGGCCATATGCTTCACTAGGAGATAAGGACAACTGTAATTAAGTAAGTAGTATTTTAAAAAGTTCATTCTTCAATTTATGAGTTAATATTTTAAAAAGGAGGTACTAAACTCCTGTATAAACATAGCAACATTAAATAACAATATTATTTGTATCAAAGTATTGATTTAGCTGGATGAGCAGAGCGTTCCAAAAAATAGAAATACTCCGAACTTTTCAAATAAAAACTCTATAACAATGGTTTTTATATATATATTTTTTTTATCCGGCTATAGGTCACTTTTTGTTAAATAATTCAATGTTTGTTTAATATTTTTTAATATATTCTATATTTCGACATTCCTAAAGAGTCATCATCAGAATCACGATCACGATTATCCTCTTTATTCTATTGTCTATATTGCAGTATAGATTTAATTTATGTTAGATCGTGATCCTGATGAAGACTCTCTAGAAGAATCGAAATATAGAACATATTAAAAAATATTAAACAAACGTTGAATAATATAACAAAAAGTGACCTATAGCCGGAAACAAAAAAATATATAAAGATCTTTTAGTCGGATTAGAGTGTTTCTTCAAGTCTGATTTTTTTTATGTAAGACAGTATAGAGCCTATCTTTCTTAATAATCCATCTTAATAATCCATGAAATATGCAGTTTCTCTTTTTTCTCTGCAGTGTCTACGGTCTCAATTTGATTGAATTCCTAAGTTCGTTAGGTGATTATTTAATCTACAGTGACCAGTCAATATTCTCGTAATAATACTTAGGTTATTTTGTAATTGTTCTATGCAATCCTTGAAGCGTTTTAGGTTGTAAGTCCTTAAAAGCATTTTAGATTATGAGAGTCTTGGTAGCTATTCCCAATAGAGTTCTCTTTCTTTTTCCGCAGCGCCGTTCATAATAATGAATAGAGTGTATTATGGTAATAGTATATCGTATAAGGATATTAATGTAATTTATTTATATGTATGTTGTATAAATAAATTGTTGATATATCTACTTCGACATATCTCGTTCAAACATGTAATTCATGTAAACAAAGTGACAGTGGGTTGTGGTAGCAAATTTGTTTTGATCCATTCTTCTCTTTTTTAATTTAATTAATTATCATAAAAAGGAGCAAATTCTATAAAAAAATCGGTATTTATATAAGTCTTTTATGTATTGTTTCACAGAATAAAGTTTAATATATTTCAAAAAATATAGCAAATGTCATTATTAAATAATTTTATTCCATATCCTTGTATTTTATTCCATATAAAAAATATTACATATCTAAGACAAAGTTTCTTTGAAATGTAATTTACACTCATGCCGTCACATGGAAACAAAGCGTTACCAACCAATTCGCTGCCATTATGTGGAAACATTCTCCAAGTATAAATATTACAACCAAATAAAAAGAAGATGAAGATGAAAATGAAAATGAGGAAACTCATTGATCAGCTTTAGCTTAACTTAAGCATTGTGTGTCATTATTCTCTTTCATGCCATTAGTTTTCAATGGTTTTTCAATTGAATGCACGTTAGGGCGTGCAATATGAGTGGGGGTAGAGCAACAGGAAGTACGTACGTTGTCGTTTGATAACAACAATTTTCGGTCGTCATTTGCTGCCGTTGTTACCATATCTGGGTTCCATTTTCACAGTTTCATTGGCGCTGCTACTGCGTTTGCACTTTATTTCCACTTGAATTTTTTTATCGCAATGATCATCATTTTTCTTCAAGTGCAAACACTTACTACATTTGGAAAATTCAATGAAAATTCGTTGTTAAAGTGCTCATTATTAATAATCCCCGGCATAGAAGACGCATATCTCTTAAAGCGAAACGCAAACTTTTCTAGACAATTTTAACGGTTTCGAACGCTAAGCACTACTTTGAATGCAGTTACTTCCACTCCAGAACTCGGTTATATAATGTGCAGTTATGGATGGGAAATTTCATTTATATAAGCACATTTTATGTTTATGTGTCGTCCGTCGTCGAGTATCTTCGTATCTATGCAATTTCAATTGTGTGTATTGGGTACTTACAGTTTCTCTTAATACTTGAATTTATGCAAATCGACTATCGTCTTGCATAAAATAATTTTTAAGAACCCTTAACTGACATAAATAGATAATGTCTAAAGTCAGCAGTTTGTTTTAATTAATTATATGAAATATAAGTGAATGGCTTTAATGTAATATACGAACAAATTTTTCATTGCTCTACTAGGCGTTTAAGCAATATTCAATTTATATTGAATTGTGCTTTGAGTCAATTAAAATTACTTTTCATTCTAGAGTGATAAATACATAATTTATATGTAATTAGTCTAATTAAATTTATATTATGTGTTCAAAATTACAAAAAACAAACACAATTTAAAATTTATTAAATTATGAATAATGCATTGAATAATGCATCGTATTATAATATGGAATGTATACAAATTGTAGAAATATAGATTCAGATGCAGTTAGGGATACGGTTGCATGCATTGGGCTTTGAAGGCAAAGTGGCAGAGTGGCAGAGTTAAAGGCAAACACAGAAACTAAATCATATGCAACAATTGTATTTGGTCACGCATGGCGTATGAGTAACGTTTTTATTTATTTTTTGTTTTTAGGCTTGATTCGCCTCCATTGTGCTGCAAAATTGATTTATATGGCGCCGGTGACAAAAGTTCAATTAGTAGCAAATATTTTATTTAATATTACGTATTTTTTATTATAAATAAATATTTATAATTGTTTAAAAATGTATATTTGTTTACTTAAATTATTAAACGATTATTATTTTTGTTAAGGGCTTGCGTGCTTCTGTGTTGAAATTGTAATTTATTTTATTTGAATGCATAAAAATAAAATTCATATTATGTTTCCACTAATTGTTCATATGATAAACATTTTTATAAATTTATTTCTGTTCATATTTATTATGTTTATTTATGCGTGGATTACACAATATATTGTAATTTAAAGAAATAGTAAATAAATTAAAGTTTTTCGAATAAATAAATTAATTATATCCACACATAAGTTAGTAAAATTTAGTTTTGATGTGATAATAATTACTATTTTATTTATAAATTTTTATATAAAAAAATTTAAATTTTGTCATAATAAGTGTATAGTATGTTGGTCTATTCGTGTGGGTCGTCCCAGATAATTTGGCGTGTAGGAGTAACTATATATGCTGCACTCCACTCCACTTATATCTTAAGCAAACCAATCATTTCTACAAAAAAAAGTTGCTTTCGATAAAAATTACCTTTAAGGATAGTTGTCTATAAACTATGATTACAGAATATGAGTATAGAATATTCTTTTGTGCATAGTAGTAATAAGTTTAGCATTTCATTTCATCTCTCCATACTCACATTAATTAATTTAATTGTCTAAATAACATAGTGGAATTAAATGAAATTGCTCACATTCTCAAATTTAATTATTTCAGTCTATTATTAAATCTATTACTAAAAATAGAATAAAAGAGTTTCTTAAATTCAATTATTTGAGTCTATTATTAAATATATTACTAAAAGAAGAGTAAAAGAGTTTTGAGTTTAAAAATTAAACTGTTGCTTAATAAATAATTTTTCTTGGTTTCATTATTTTCTTACTTTACTTAATACAGAATTAAAATAATTTCTGAACAAATTTTGATTTCGAAGATATAAATTCCAGCGTAAATACACAGCTTGAAATAATAACACCAATTATAATAACTAGAAAAGCAGCCCACAACTCTTTCATACCAAATAAATGATCCTGCATAACTTGTCCATTAAATAAGTAGTTATTATCTATCTCCCTACTTAGCCATGCGTTCATAAGACCAGTGCTGACAATCCAAGAAATTTGTTTATTAAACTCATCGAGAAGAAAAGAGTGTTTGCTAAGATACATAGTCATATAAAATGATACTATCTGCTGTGGTATCAAAAAGTAGTCTCCTGCTTTCCGATTTTGATGTACAAAATAAGCTAAAATTGTGTTAGTCGTTATGCCGACTAAAGGACCACGACTTGTATTTTCCAGTAAATTCAAAGGGCTCTTACCATTTGGCACAACTTCAAAAACAAATTTTTTAGCTAAAGATACATCATTTAGAATATCTTTGTTCATTAGAAATGTATAGTTCTGTGTTAGTATTTTATCTATAGAATTGGGAATGGGTTTCGATGTTTGTGTATGTATCAAGTGAAACAATAAAGCTTGATACGAATTACGTATTATAAACATAACCCAGAACCAAAGTATTAACAAAAGTCGTCTTCCAGAATTGTTTGTTAGTTGCAAAACAGGTAGGCCAAGTAGAATTCGAAATATGTGTAGAAAACTTTTCGACGTGTCCTTGGTCTTGATTCTTGATTTCAACAAGACCGTGTTTTCAAAACACTGTGTAATGAGAGCTAATATTACTGTTATTAAGAGTATTGTCCAGACGTAGGTTGTGAATGGATGCACTAGTAGTTCAAAAGAATTGAATTGGTATGCAGCCTTATATACTACCGCTACTACGTGATCCTGCCGATAAACGACTGTGGGAGAAGCAACTCTGGAACGTTCGAGCGTTTGGCGAAAACCAGCAATTGTTAAATCAGCAGTATGTTTTTCTATCTAAAAAATTCACAACATTTGGTAAGTTAAAAATATACTTAATTATTTTAATACCATTCCAATAGCTCCATTAAAACTTCCATTTACTAGAGTGCCACGTTTTACAGCTTCTGGTGGAATCCAGATTTCAACCGAGAAGTTTAGTTTTTGTGCTAACACATTTAACATATTACCCTCAAAACCTCCGTTTATCTTGACCTGGCCCTCTGCATTGGTCTCTAAGGTTACCAAAGGAACTAAATGCCATAAAGCAGCTTTAAGCTTGCAGCCATAAAAGTTTTTAAGTTTTCTTGGAAATAATTCTGATTTCGTAAATCCCGCACCTTTAAATTGATTAAATAAAACTGGCTCTATTTTATAACAGTATTTCGCTGTGAATGGAAAATAGGTGTAGAGTAGTACTTCACCCCTTTCAGTTTGTACTTGGACAACACAATTTATGAGATAATGCAACCAGCAGTAATTAAATATTTGTTGCATTTCATCCTTTAGCAGATGATCCGGTGTTTGCAAAAAAATGAAATAGTATTCATTATTATTATTGTCCCGAGTATAACTGGCGATATCAGTTTTTCTATATAAAATAATATAGTATTGCAATTAGAAAATTAATTTTGTTAATTAATAGTATTTATGAAACACTTACAAGAAAGCTGTGTAGGAATCGGTTAACATCATATTATATATCCTGTCACCAGGTATTCTTGTCGTTGAGTTCATATGTACCACTATTAACTGTACTATTTGCATATCCCATAGTTGAAATAGTGGTTCCATGATGTCATTGTAGAAACTGCAAGTGTGATAATCACGACAGCTAAGTGTGAGAGTGAAATGCGAAGCCCGCTTCAAGAAGTAGTTTTTGATAACGTAGATTAATGCATATGCCACAAACCAATTCTGGCTAATATATTGTTCTCCAGATTTCTGATTAAAGTCTCTAATCAGTGCAGATATGTTCATAATGCTTTGCAGTGGTGGTTTGCTTATTGCTTTTAAATTAAAACCTAGTTGCTTGTATGGTTCATGCCTTAAATAATTAGGTATGGTTTCGACGAAACAGCAAGTCGAAGCTAAATAAAAAGATAAACATTATTAAAAAGTTATATGAGTGCATTTTAGTTTTGAAGGGTTAATGGATATGATAATAACAAAGTGACTTTGAAAGTAAAAACAAATATTTAAGTCATTCCGGGTAAAATTCATTTTGAAATGTATTAAGTGCTTAAAGTCTAGTTGAAATTATTTTACTAACGAGGCTACAATTTTCGGAATAAATTTGAATTTCAGTTTGTTTTATTTTACAAAAATCAATGTCAGTATTTAAGTGTTATAAATAATGCTTTTATTTAGGTGTATAAGTTATTATATGTAGTTTGAATATTTTTATATAGGAGAAGGATTATTTAAGTTTTACTATCTTACCAATGATAGGTTATCATTGGTTTTTAGATACCCAGTTCAACTGGAGACAAAAGATGAAGAAAAGTTTAATAATAAGACTAAGTATTCTTAATAATTTTTAAAAATGATTTCTTTTTATTTCACACTAGACCCGATGGAAGAATTTTCTATTAAATCATTAAATCCTATTTATACCTAGATTTGGTGCCAAGTTTAATGAAGCAAGTGACATGCAAAAGAAAGAATTAGTTCTTCAATGAAGAATTTATAATTCAATTTGTAAACTCTTGCTTCATTTATTGGAAAGCATTTTTGATAACACTTACAGTTACTTTGACATTGCACAGTTTTCAGATATATACTCTAAACAATCTTTGGAGCTGTGACACATAGATGGCAATGGTTCTTTTTAGGATTGTAACGGCAGTACAACTAAAATAATTTTGAATGTTGATTAGTTATTTTAAAAGTAGAACAATATCGTTTTCTATGAGTTGAACCGCATTAGAATAGAAAGGGCTAAGCTTGAAATTTTTGCCAAATTGAAGTTAGAGATGAACTAGTTTATATAAATGAATATGTTGTTAAAGACTATGTCGCAGTAATAATATAAGCAGTACACTTTCACTATAAGCCGGAAAAGTACAAAAATCGTTAAAGTTAACACTTTTTTGAACTCATGTGAAATTTCAAATTAAAATTATACTTAAAACTTTACTTATTTATTATTATCTTTTTGTAAACAAAAAACTCTGTAATATTAAAATGTATTTATTTAGTTAAACTTTGAGTCGAAGAGTTCCCTCAGTACTGTTAAAAAATTTATATATTAAGCTCTTCAAAATTTGTTTTTGCCTTATTTTATAAAAGTCAATACTCACAATTAAACTTTGTTTCAATTTGAAGGCATTCTATGTGATTTCTGATGACAAACGGTTTAGTTTGAATCAGAACTTATACTGCCATGCTAAACACTATAAGGACTATAAAAGGCACAATTAATGATGGACTTTCGACCACAAAATAATACTCATTCAATATGTAATCAAAAACCAAATCGATCAAATTCAATCCAAATACTATAAAAGCACTTAAGATATCAATCAAATTTTTTAAGTGCATCGCTAAGCTGATGATTTTTGTTTTTAGGAATACTTTCATATATTTTCAATTTAAATTAAACAAAGTTCATTGGAAAAAAACTAGAGGCAGACATGTATAGTGTGGTTTGCTTAAAAATTATACTGATTTATGCTATTTGGACCGTTGCAACCGCAACGAATTTTTCTGATATTAATAACGAAGAGAATACTAATAAATTAATTGTCAGTCATTTGACCTACATGGTATTGAACTCTATTAAAGATCAGAGAAACATTTTAATACAGACAAAAGGAAATACTCAGAAATCTGAGCAAATGCTACAATATCTGGCTAATAACCTTATATATAATAATGTCGACAATACCATAATTTTAGACAATATTGATCTATTTGATATGAATTTTCTCATTCATATACATCTACTGTTTGTGGATTCGTTCAATTCCTTCAGGTAAGCACATTTTTGATTATCATTCAATAAGAAATTATTAAAAGTTTTTTAATTAATAGTTATCTCTTAGATAAACACAAAAATACTGTCACACACGAGATCTATTATTTGATTGTTTTGCACTCAGGGAATAATACCGAACAGCACAGTACTTGCATGGCACGTATGTTCGAAAGACTCTTCGTCAAGTTGATTGTGAATGCCAATATACTGACTTACAGTGAAGAAGTTGGCATGGAAATGTTTACATACTTTCCTTACTCAAGTGGTGATTGTCAATCCCAGAAACCTGTTAAAATTTATGAATTGAAAGATGTTCATTTCTTTTCCAAAAAACGGATGCAATTTACTAAATTTTTTCCATCAAAGCTTTCGAATTTTAATAAGTGCCCTCTTAAGATATCTATCGCACCAATTAAACCATATATTACTTTGCATCCCAATGAAATGGGTCTTAAACGTATTTCGGGCATTGAAGGAAAACTAGTTGAACTGATTGCTATTAAAATGAATTTTAGTTACGAATATCATATATACGATAGTCAGCATATTGGGTATGTTTTTCCTAATTTGTCAACTACGGGAGTATTTAAAGAGGTATGTAACAGATTTTTTTTTGTTTTCATTTTATGTTGTAATTATTTTATTTATATGTAGTTTTTAAAATGGAATTAAATATTTCAAGAACTTTATTAATAATTTAAGTACAAATTGTTTTTAAGCTGGCAGAAGGACGTGCAGATTTTGCTCTTGGAGGTACGAGTTGCACTCATTTTCGTATGCGATTATTGCCTTGTTCCAAGCAGTATTTCATGTCAAAAGTACGTGTTATGCTTAAGCCTGGTGGACATTACACAGCTCTGGAGGTATTGTTTTATCCATTTAAAATAGAGGCTTGGTTGCTTTTATTCTCGTTAGTGAATATACGAATTTTGCTAAAGCTACTGAGTAAGCATCTAGAAGTCCACCAGGGATTTGTGCAACTTTTATTAATTGCATGGTTATTAATGATATTCTTTTATCGAATATCCTTCGAAGGATCTTATTTCAAATTTTTGCATAATCAACCACTTAAACCATTGCCTTCAAATGCAGAAGAAATGAAGAAACAGAAATATGGTGTTGTGTCAGATTTGTGTCATATACGTTTTAAAGAATATTATATTGATTTAAAAATTGGTGTTATTAAGGATTTCACTCTTTGGGAAACTATTGAATTTATCAGGGATACCAATGAAAAAATTGCTGCTTTAGTTAATATTGAAATACTGACATATTATCTTAGTAAAAATACAGAAGAGCGCGGTAATTTTTTAGTGATTAAAGATGGCATGATGCTTGATCCACTTTGTATATATTTCAAACGAAATTCATTTCTGGTACATGCGTTTAACAAAATTATAATGGAATTGGATATCCACGGAATCACCAAGAAAATAGTAAACGAGTATATTAATTATAACTATATTCCAAGCACAACATATGAAACAGTTTCGTTGAATCAAAGAGATGTATTCCCACTTGGACTACATCACCTGAGTGCAGCCTTCTATTTGCTGATGATTTTCTTATTAATTGCTGCTATAATTTTTACTTTTGAGTGCTTGTCTTATAAATTTGTGTTCTTCAAGAAGCTCTTCGATTATCTGAGCAACTAAGTAAATTTATTTTAATATTATAAAATCAAAAAAATTTTTAACTTTTAATAATGTAAGTGCTTCTTAACGATATGCTATGTTATTTATTACTATATGTAAAATAAAGAGGTTTTTTCGAACAGTAGTGAAATACAACAACAAAAATTTTTATTTTTTATATTATTTTAATTAATTGAATTTTTGGCTGACCAAAATTACTGTTTCGAGTATTGCCAAATAGCCATTATCAGTGGTCTTGAAAATAATTCTTGTATTTAATTATTCGTAAATAATTATTTTTGAGACTGCAAGTACCAGGAAAATATATTATTATTGTTTAAGTGATTGCAGAATGCATCAATATGTTGGAGTACCTATAGCGATTATCGCGATAAATAATAACGAAATGCAAATTATAAAAGTAAAGGGTAATAAAATATCATATATCTCTGTTGTGTTAAAAAATATGAGCAAAAAAAAAAAAAAATTTAGTAAATATATAGTACATAGTTTATTTGAAGCATAAATTATTTTATTTGAATTGAGAGAAGAGTTCTATGTCATTGGATTAATCCTTTCTTATTGCATAAAATGCAAATGCAAGTTATATATCTTTTATTGTCCTTAAATCCTTTGCGTTCAACATTTGGCATATGGTTTGCTCATGGAAGTACTTGCTATACTTATCAAAAAAACATATCACCCCATCAATCCTCTCCCAAAGGACTTCGTTATAAGTTGAGAGACATAACTTACAAATGCAATGAATCTCTATTCTTACCATAAATAAGTTTGGAAATACTTTACGACCATAGCTTTGTCATAGCCATTATTCTTAGTTTTAAGCTGACTTTCTTTTAATATTCCTAACAATATTTAAAATCTACTAAATCTACCTACTATTTACTTTACATTTATCTCTTCTTTTTCTAGAAGAGTTTCTAGAAATTAAAATTTCTCTCTTGTCTGTATTTATTTACTGTAATAAGATATCTATAATTAATTCGATTTCTACCGATGACTATAACCTATTCTCATTTGATTTCTAACGCCTAATTTAAAATCTCACGCGGAAGTTTATCATACTTTATAATAGTATATATATTAGCGGAAATAGTTCAAAATTTTATATATTTTACTTTGATATTTTTTGCAACGAAAATAGTTACAACAATTTTTTAAGTAAAATCTAATACAAGCAGTGTTAAAGGAAAGTTATATCCTTTCGTACTGCTAATAATTTGCATGACGAATAAATGATTAACAAAAGTAGATCCTTTGGCCATTCTGCTTAAATAAAGTTTGGCAGTTGAATAGACAACTTTGCTTAATTATCTTCATTAGTCTTTTAATGTTGTCTAGACATTTTTTCAACTTCTTATTTAATTTCAAACTTTTTTATAGTGGCTTCCTAGTTTTTCGTTAAAGTATATCATTTTTATTAAAGAAAAAACTTTTTTACTTTAAACACATTTGAAACATACTAATAACTTACATAAACCCCACATTACAGCAGTATTAAAGGATATATTTACAGTGATTCTTATGCATCTGTTGAAGGTATTATTGATTAATTAAATATAAAAAATAATTTATTTATTTTAATATATCCAATTTAAGTAATTATTGAAAATTAGAAGATAATCGTAAGTATGTAAGAATTAACTTCATATTGAATATGATACTTTGTATTAATTAGTACTTTTACAGGACTTAATTACTAAATACAATACTTTAAGAAGAAATAATTATGCAGATGTAATATGTTTGTGTAAATGTGTGCAAAATTTAATTGCACATCTTTGACTGTTTGTTGTTGTTGCTTAGCCTTTACTGTGTTGACAATGATGATGCACTTTACATATTTTCCTGACAGGATGATTTATTGGTAAGCACTTTACCACTCTCTACTGCACTAATTTTTCGAATTGGATTTTATTTCCAGTAGGTTGAAGCTATAGACGAGATCACCTGTCGAGTGTTTAGAGAATACCTGGTTAACGTCAACATTTTCCAACACTTAAAGAACTGGATTCGTATTTGCTTTTCATTAATTGTAAGAACTATAATCTTTTCCATTATCTAAAGCTTCAAGAACTAACTGCATTTCGATTCTATTTTCACTAGGTTTAAGATCTAGCAGATATTATGCATATTCTCGAGTGCTTCCTTGAGGTTTCCTTGTGTCAGATTTTTTACACATGTAAAATGGGTCTTGGTTGCTTCATTTGAATTAATTTTATCTAAATGTTTCGTAAACGTGTTTAAATAATCCATCAATAATCACAATTTTGAATCACGCAGAAACATACAAATTCAAAACTAAGTATAGAAGGTTTTAATTATAATTTGAGAAAAATAATTTAGTAAGGAAAGTGTTCCATATTTCTATTTCATTTCCGTATTTATTTTGACTTTGCACATTTCAATGAAAGTAACAACGACCAGCAAACTGCAAGGTGAAAAGAAAGCATGTCCTGGTTCACACACTTCTACACATACATAAACTCACATTAAATTGTGAAAATCCTTAGCTTAACATATACTCTTATCCTTTCTAGTTCAGGATATCAGAATTGCATATTTCTATTAAGTTTTGCATGTTCATTTTGGGCTTGGAATTAAAATGCTGCTTCGATGTGCCAGACCTTGCCCGCATTCACCTTGATTATGCTCATTGGTGTTGTTGCACCTCTAATCAAATATTGCATTCTTGGGTTTTGTGCTGCTGCTGCCATTGTGGGCTTCCTCCGTGCATAATATGTGCAACAAAATTGCCAATAATAACAAAAACCGTACATTTGCATTTGAATGAATGGGAATAGACAATATTTTTGAATCGTTGTGGTACATCCATGGAATACTCGTAGCTTTATTACTTTCACAACACGTAGAATTTTGGTTTGTTCCAATGTTGTGATTTACTTGAATGATTCTTTCTGGAGATTGTTATTAGCTTTTGTTTAAATTTGGAACCAGAATAATTTTCTATGCACTTCTCTACCTTTTATGATTTCTGGTGAAAAAAGGTATTTATCAACGATTTATGCATTTATACTTCATGGATTCAGACATACACTGGAGCTCAGTAAATATAAAAAAACAATTTTATTCTCCATTGTTCTGTTAAAATTTCGAGTAACTGAAGTTCACTTGATGATTATGTTTTAATTAAATCTGTAAATCAGTAATTGAATTGTTCTCTTAAAAATAAAATTTATGTTGATTTCATTTGAACATAATATCAAATGAATACTTTTTCAAATCTTATTAGGATTATTTGAATAGGATTCTGGAATAGGTCCCAATAAATTCTATTATAAAATTTAAACAACTAAGTTTAGTTATAAATCTAGTTTATTGAAATTGTAAATAAACAGATAATATTTTTTATTTTGGGAAATACAAAACTTTTCATTTTGAGATAATAAGAAATATAAATTTAGTTGAATATATGTTATATAGTGTAGTTGTGATATAGTGGTAGTGATGATAAGGTTTTTATAAAGAAATGATTAGCAATGATTGCTAATTTGCCGAAGCATCACAAAACATAAATCTCTTAAAAAGCAGAAATATTGTGGAATATGGTGATTAAAAATCTTTTATAATATTAACATATTCAATAAGAGTTAAGCGGTAATGTTGACAATAGCGAAATATAGCACTGGTTCTGTAAATGCACTGAATTCCCGAACATAGAAGACTGGAGAGAAATAATGTATATGACAAAAAACAATGAAATTCGTTAAGTTGGACTGGCAGTTATCATAGCTCGCTAGCTTGTATATTTTTTGATAAAGAAAGGCAGAGAAGTTGATACTTACAACTTAACTAAAACTATCTACTACTTTTTAAAGAGGAAACTCATATATTTTGTATTTAATGTCTGTCGAAAATAATGCAGAATAAGAGTGATGTACTAAGTCGACACTGTCTCTTAAGAACACACAAAAAATAAACCTACCTAAATACAAACACCATTAAGAGAGGCTCGGTTTCAGCACTAATATTACGGGGAAATGTAATATCTGGAATAGAAATGAGATTAGAACATGTGCCACGTACATAAACATGTGAGAGACATTAAGCTGTCTGGATGGCGTAGCTGAACAGGACACCATCATCATCGTTATGATTATAAGGGAAGTAGGAAGTAGAAATTTTCTGCTGACTATATAGAGAACCAAGAAAACCTTATTGTAAAATGGTAACAATATAACACTTAAATAAAATGTCAACATTGGCATTACTATACGCCCATAGTGTATAGATATGCAAAACTTTAAATCTATCAAGAATGTCTGTAAAGGTTATCGCTTAAGACCTTAAAGTTTATATGTTCCATTATCGCTTCAACTAGTATATTAATTGGAGCCAGTAGATTTTTTTAAAAACCATACCATTACTTTTCATATTTATATTCTTGGTCCTTGTCTAATAAAGTCTAATAAAATTATTTAAGTTTAAAATGTGAAAGAGTTGAATCTTTGGGGATAGTCTCATATTTTTAGATCCATATATTTTGATTAATTCTTCTACATATCGCAATTATACTTGATTGAATTGATTGAAAAACAAAAGTCCTTACTTGAATTTTATTTCGCTTATTGCAGGCGGAAGCATTTTTCATATACCACAAGTATGTAGTGCTGACATTTATAATTTAAGTGAAACATTTGAAATAATTATACGGAATGCAATATTAACTAAATTATTAACTCACCAAAGTTAAATGGAAG